GTTTATATTTTTAAAGAGTTATTTAACTGTTTGTCAAAGACTTTTTTAAGTAGACTGGTTGCAACTCGTTTCAGGACCTCAGACAGCTACATCATTCAGCAGCACGGCAATTTCTTTTCTTTCTCTTTTTTCTAAATATTTTAAATTGTTTTTTGTCACAATGTCGTTTTTATTTTATTTTGTTTTTGTCTCTTTTGTTAAATAAATGTTTTGCCTATAGTTGCTTTTACTTCATGTTTTAGCTGTTGACCATCACACTTTAGTATTTTAAGCATTTTTTCTAAATATAATCCAAATTTTACTGTCTGTATTTTAGGTGCACTTTTTAATATTGAGCTCAAAGTGCCGCTGTTGCTCCATTAGTTTCAGATATATCGCAGACAGCTTGTACCTCCCTTCATTTCTTCATTTTAGAGAGAAAAAAAACGACACAAGTGTAAAGCACCGTTTGGATTTTACACGATACTCTGGAGCTCCTGAAACACATTTTTTGTTTGGAACAAGCCAGCCATTACAACCCAGGCTTATTTATTTATTTATTTTTCTTTTAAGAAAACAAATACCGCTGCATTTTGTTGTTCATATATGGATAACGTGGGACAAACAATGAAAGGGCAAGTACTGCTGTTGTTCTCCGTCCTCTCTTTCTGCTCGGTGCTCGCGCAGGTCAGCTATTCCATTCCAGAGGAAATGCCCAAAGGTTCTTTAGTTGGTAACATSGCGAAAGACTTTGGTTTAGACATTAAAAGACTAAAGTCGGGCAAAGCTAGGATATTTAGCAGAGACGGTGATGAATACGTGGAGCTGAATAAAGAAAGAGGCGTCCTCCTCATCAAAAACAGGATCGACAGAGAGACGCTTTGTGCACAGACGACGCCTTGCGCCTTACATTTTCAGATCATATTAGAAAATCCCATGGAGTTTTACAGCGTGACGGTAGAGATCACAGATGTTAATGATAATCCACCCTCATTCGAAAAGACTGATGTCAAATTTAAAATCAGCGAGTCCGCAGTCCGCGGTGCTAAATTCATTTTAGACCGCGCCGTGGATCTGGATGTGGGTGGAAACGGACTGCAGACATATAAGCTTGAGCCGACAGAGAATTTTGCTCTGAGGTTACACGACCAGGCAGACGGGACTAAAAACATCGAAATGGTGTTAGAGAAAGCTCTCGACCGGGAAAAACAGGAGCGCCTGTCCTTGGTGCTGACTGCGCTGGATGGCGGAGAGCCGCAGATGACAGGAACAATGCAGATCCTGATCACCGTGTTGGATAGTAACGACAACGCTCCCGTTTTTACGCAGTCTGTATATAAAACTGCAGTTAGAGAAAACTCAGCCGTCGGAACAGTTGTATTGACAGTCAGCGCTACAGATGCAGACGAAGGTTCATATGGAAAAATAACGTATTCAATATCCAGTATGTTAGATAATGCGCGTGGATTATTTGAAATTAATCCAGAAACTGGTGAGATTCGGATGAAAGGAAATGCTGATTACGAAAAAGCTCGCTCATTTCAGATAAATATCCGTGCTAGTGATGATGGCGGCCTTGTTGACTCATGTAAAGTGATGATTGACGTCATAGACGAAAATGATAATAAACCAGATATCCAGATTATGTCTAAATCAAATGTGATATCAGAGGATGCAAAAGTTGGGACTGTGGTGACGATGATAAATATAGAAGATGCAGATTCAGGTGAAAATGGAAAAGTTCAGTGTTTTATTAATGATAATATTCCTTTTATAATGAAAGATTCAACTGGAAATTTCTACAGTTTAGTGACAGACAGTGAGTTGGACAGAGAGAGAGCCTCTGAGTATAATATCACAGTGAGCTGCTCTGATGAAGGAGTGCCCTCCCTCTCCAGCAGCGTCACTCTCACCTTGCAGATCTCTGATGTTAATGACAACCCGCCTGTCTTTGATAGCAGCTCATATGAGGCCTACATTGTAGAAAACAACACACCAGGTCTCTCTATATTCACAGTGAAAGCCACAGATGCTGACTGGAACCAGAATGCTCGTGTTTCTTACATACTGGAGGACTCCTCTGTTCACGGAGTGCCAGTCTCATCATATGTGTCCGTTAGTGCTGAT